ACTGGACTCTATTCTATTGCTATTCAAATCAAAAGCTGAACATGCTTGATCATGTATCCCACACACCATAATGTTGGTACAATGTTTCTTCTTTTGAAATTCGAGTTGATGAAAATGTTACAAAACAAATTAGTAGGCTACATTCTTCATATTTTTCCAGATATTGTTAACTTGATTGTTGACTTATTAATTAATACAGCGGCGGTGTGGCTCGTCGCGCTAAGCGTTAGTAACACGCTCGGCACCGCACCTCTGATTACCCTGCGTGGTTTCGCAGGTTCGAATCCCATGCGGGAATAATTATGTGCGAGAGAATTGCTAGACTCCTCGCCGCCGTAAGGTGGTTCATGTAACTGCTGGTCGGTTACGGCTTCCTCCACCATCAAGCCTATGCTTTCGAAAACAAATAACTAATTAAGCACATACCCCACATGGAATGGTAACCGGAAGTGAGGCCGTGGTTCGCCATATGGTTAAGCCGTATTATCGGCTTTCCTCTCCTCCGGGATAAATATGTAAATCCTAAGCGTTAACACGAACGTTTCGGACCATGTTGCAATGACCAACTGAGTTTCGTCAGTCATGTTGATTCATTTCATCTGAGTTTGGATCAGTTTGGATTTCTGCCCATTGACAAATCACCCTTGCCTACTATGTCTCTTTAACTAATATCCCGAAATGAAACGAATAGATTTCTCCCAAAGTGATTTAATCCAGATATCAGTAAGACAAAGTGACCTGACAAACAATAAAGATGAATATTAAAATGAGTACAGGCAACCAGGCACAATACAAAGCAAGAATATACCAATTCACTTACATTTAAATGAGGCTTTGTCAGAACAGATTATCCCAATGTAAGAAACTTAAGAAATAGATTATTCATACCCAATGACTATAGCACCATTAACAAGCTTATGAGAACAGATCTAAAGACAGACTAAAGCTCTAGACAGTTAACCATAACAAGAAGTAATCAAGTAATCAGCCAATAATCGCGATGCAGTGAACCATACGTAAACACACCAAAAGTAAGTAGTACCAAGATAAATCAGTCAAATGTTCAAACCACTCCCCCCCAGTCTATGAATGCAATGAAAAAGACGATAATATTGAACATTGTTGACTCGGAGTAACTGATATGAGATTAGATGTCTTTCAACCCACACTGTAGCTCTTCTTTGGTCGCAATTAGACAAAGTTTATGTATTGGTCGATTGTATAAATTCCCATCGCTGTCTTTGATTGTAACACTTCTCACCAAGCCATCTGAACTGGGCATAATGTTGTGAACCAGTGCTTTTTTCCATAAACCTCTGGGTGCACTTCCGCCTTTAAATCCAGGTTGAAGAATTAATACGTAATCTCCAACTTGAAGATTGCGTCTTGTTCGAAACCATTTGTTAGCAAGTAATAGCTGAGGCGGTATGTGTTTCATCCATGTTTTCCAGAACACCTCAACTCTGTTTTCCGCCACTTTTAGCATGTCTCGTGGATTGAATCTCTCTTCTTGTGTAGTTTGAGGGACTACCTGCTTTGCATATGGATGTAAAAGAGTATTGCCAGTAATACAATTATATTCCAAAGGGTTTCCATCTGGGAAAAGTGGTCGACTATTGATGATATAAGTAATTTCGTTGAGAACAGTTGTCCATTCTTCGTAGGTCATAAGAGCCCTGCTGTAATTCACCACTGATGCATCGAGTGCTTTGCGAACCGAGTTGATAAGCGATTCTACTACTCCATTCATATGTGACGCGTAAGGCACATTATATTTCCAATCAAATTTCGTTTGATTCTCTGCCATCTCATGTTGAATCAACTGAAAATTCCATTTCTCGATCCATTCCTTGATAGGCGCTTGACTAGCTTGAAATGTAGTACCTCCGTCGGAAAATACAAAAGCAGGATGAATTCCCCTTATAGATACAAATCGTCTCCATGCCCGAAGGAACGAATTAGTATCCAGAGCCAGACACAGTTCCAGATGAATACAACGAGTGGTTGCACATGTAATAATTAAAACAGACGCGTTGATAACTACATTTCGAGATTGCTTTACTTTCAAGTATCCGAAAAAATCCATTGCTACAGAATTGAATGGTGCCATCTGTGGTTGCATTCGAAATGAAGGAAGTTCTCCCATGCGTTGCTGTAGCAACTTTCTACGACGAATCCTGCAAAATATACACATTGATGCTATTGATTTTAAGAGTATTCTTCCACCAATAAGAACAATACCGTCATTCTTCATATTTGCCAATATAACTCGATACCCTTGATGTAAGAACTTTTTATGATAGAACACTCCAAGAAGACGAACGAGGGAATGTTTGCCCGGAAGCACGACTGGATGCTTCATTTCCATATATAAATCAGTTCTATTCAGTCTTCCACCAATACGAAGAATTCCGTGAGAATCGAATAACAAGTCTAATTTCCATAGAGTTTTGACAGCCTTCCCAAATTCATCAATCATAGATTTTTGACAAATTCTGAATATACACAATTTTGCTTTCTCTATGTATTGTACGACATCGGCAGGTTTAAATTCCAAATTGACAAATGATTTTTGCTGAAATGCACCCTTCATCCAAGCTGTCGCTCTTAGCAAGTCTTGCCATGAAGAAAAATTATCCGCTAAATCATTATCATTTTGATAAGGCAAATCTGCTTTAACGACGTTGAATTGTCTTTTTCCGCGATATGCTTTTGACTTAGTTGGTGGTTTTTCTTCCAATATTTCTTGACGTAATTCATCTAATTTTAAGTCATCATCATTCGGCCAATATTCCATTGGTTGCCTTAGAAATTCAGGTCCTTCATGCCAAATTGTAAGCTTCTCGCAGGAAATAGGTTTTGTTAAACAATCTGCAGCATTAAGAAGACTTGGAATGAATTTGACTTCTTTTGTTAGATTCTTATGTGTATCTTGAAATTCTTGTACTCTTGAAGCAACGAATGGTTTGAATTTTCCAGATTGGGAGTTCAACCAATAAATAACAACTTTGCTGTCTATCCAGAAATATTTGAATGCAATATTGTACGGTAGTGCTTACTTATTTCATGCACCAATCTGCTCATGCCTATTGCTCCCATTAGCTCCTTTCTTGGAGTACTTTTGTGTTTGAGTGGCGCCACAAATCCTTTGCTGCAACGAATGTTAGCTTAACTCCACCTGTTGTAGGCCACCGTAAGAACACACAAGTGCCATAGGCTAAATCTCCACCGTCTGAAAATGCGTGCAGTTGAGGAGGTCCAGTTGTGTTTTCAGGTTTTAGACATCTTGGAGTTGAAACTTGAGCTAACTTGGACATTTCTTGAACATTGTTATACCAGCATTTGACCACATCATCTGGCAAAGTTTGGTCCCAGCTAAATCCATCTGCCCAGATCTTTTGAAGATCTATTCTATACTGCATTGTGACTGGAAGTAAATAACCCAGAGGGTCCCACAATTTCATTACACATGCTAATGCTTTTCTTTTAGAAAATCCTGTTTGCATGAAAGAAATGTCTTTGAATTTTGAACTGAAACTGTCATCAGTTTTATTCCAGGAATGACCAAGTACATCAACAACTTTTTCACCAGGATTTTGATCTACTTCAGGATGGTTTGAGTTCCAAATCTTTATAGAGAATTTTCCACGAATAAGTATTTGATCAACATCATTGATAACCTTGTTTGCAAGAATGTGATTCGAAACAGAATGACTGACGTCATCAATGTATGTATCTTTGTCCAATACAACAGCTCCAAGAGGATGATCTTTTCGAAATTTATCGGCTAAAAATTTAATTGTAAAGCATGCCAAGTCAGGACTAGATTTATCTCCGAACATAACCCGAAGCCATTGAAAGATTGTTGGTTGCAACGATGAATCACCATAGCGCCAAAGGAAACGATGAAATTTCTGATCGACTTCTGCCATTTGAATTTGATTAAACATTTTCGATATATCACCAGCAATAGCCACACTATCAGCTCGCCATGCCATGAAACATCTGAACAAAGAATTCGCAAAGCTGGGGCCTTTCTCTAAACCATCATTGAGACATGTGCCCTTAAAAGGACACGCAGAATCAAATACTATTCTTAATTTTGTTGAGGTTTTATCCGGACGTCTACGATACGATGATTGAGGTACCATGCATTTTCAACTTTAGCCGTTTTCGTTTCAACCGGTGTTAGTCGTCGTACTACGCCTCGCTGAAGCAGATTTTTAATCTCCATATTATACTCTTCCGTTTTTCCTTTTCTATACAATTCTTGTTCCCGTTTTTTCATTTGTTCATACGCCTTCTCATAATTGTTGTGCAATTTTTCTGGGAAACCAGGTTTCCATGGCATTTTGACACAAACTCGGCCATCAGCACTAATATTGGTTGTCGCTTTTACATGTTTGATAAATGCTGATTCTGCAATTTCTGAGTTAGAACAAACACACAAAGTTGTGGGTTGCACTCCAAGAACTTCACCATGGAAAAACTTGCGCAACTCTTCATTTTCTAATGATGAAAAACTATTAATATTTGCTACATGATTGAAAGATCGTTGCGGTGCTTGAATAATGCCTCCATATAGATAGCATCCAAGAGATGTGAAAGCTGCTGAAGGATGATTATCGGGATCAATTGGCGAACGTAATGAATGCATTGTTTGAATTAAAGGTGCATAATCTCTACCAACAAGAACATCGACTGTTTTTTGCCCAACTGGTATTTTATCCTGAATTCCTCTTAGATATTCAAACTGTTTAAAAATAGATGGCGGAATTGGTGTAACATCGTGACAAGGTTTTCTCACAGCCGTAACTCTGATATCAAATATCTGGTCTCGTGAAAGAGGTCTAATTTTTAAATTATAATCTTCAGAAGGTTCTTCATGAATGGCTCCTCCTGCGACACCAAACCGAATTGTTCCATGACCTATTGCCTTTTGTTTCAATGATTTTACAAAATTACGTCTTACCAAAGAATGGTTACTGCCACCATCAAGAAAGAAATTTGCCTTGATCCATGTTTTGTCACTCGCCTGCACTTCTGCAACAAGTAATGGAGAATAATCCAAATTAAAAGCGCTCAATTGTCTTGAATGCATCTGAGATTGGTTGAATACTGCTGCATTAGAGTGAATATGTTGACTTTCCAAATTCGAGTCGTTCATACCAGAATTTCTCATTGTATTGTAATTTCCCTGTACTTTTCCGGGACATAATGACCAATGATGCTGTCTTTGGTTACAATTTACACAGCTATCGGCTGTTGTTCTTGCACAATTTCTTGCAAAGTGAGTTCCTAGACATATAAAACATCTTCGATCATCTGCTATAAAGTTTTTTCTTTCAGGAATTGATAGGTTTTGATATTTGTTGCAGTCTATAAGGCGGTGCTGAATTCCACATCCAAAAATACAAGTGACTGTCCTTTGACGTGGCTGAACTGAACCCATGTTATCATTCTCGTCTGTAGCATGATTAACCGTATTGAAATTAGATCTTGGCGACTGGTTTTGTCTCGGTCGAAACCTCATATTCTCGGTTTGACTGATAAAGTTACCAGATATTTCCAACGCTGTAGCTTCAGATCTCAGAAAATTCGTTATAGATTCCAAGTTATGATTACCTTTGCTGGAACTATTATATCGCAGTGCAGTGTCTGCATCTAGACACTCTAATGCTCTATTGACAGAAATAACCGAGTTTGCATCCTGTTTTAACCCAAGATCTTCCATACGTCGGCAGAAGAGAGAAATTTCGTGAGCTAGTCGCCTAAGGTTCGCTGGATTACGAGAGGTCTTATATAAAGGTTTTATTTGCTCGTATTGCTTGATTACTTCACGTTGAACTACTGATTTAGGAATACGCTCTTCCAGGCGTTCCCATGCACTTGAAATTGATTTACAGTCACATATCATTGTTTGATAATCGTTTGGCATTGCACCATTGCGTAAAAGCCATGAAATTTGCACTAAATCATCCGTAATTCTAGCATGGTGCATTATATGTGTAAAACGTTCTTTCCAGGTATAAAAGTCTACTTTTTGTCCGTTCCAGCATGGCGGATCCATACCACATAACTTAATCATAGGAGGATCATTATTATAATTGTTTTGAGTGGTTACAAGAGATGATATCACCGGCTTTATATCTAGTTTGTCTTCATATTTCTCAAAATCGATTGCAATCTTGTTTTCCACACGTAAAATTTCTCACTTTGTGTAGTACTGTCTTCTTCAATTAGAGCCAATTCCATAGTATCAATTAGACAGACCAAAAATGCTATTTTATCGTTAGCATCATGAAACAGTATTTTGACCTTTTCAAAATCTCTTCTTTCCAGAGAGTGCTCAAATCGTGTTAAAATTCTTTCCAATTTACTTTGAGTACCGGAAACTTACTCTTGAGTTGTTTGAAATTCTGACCTTGAAAATATTCTGCCATTGTTAGTTGGCACTCTTGCTTTGATGTATTGCTGAATCCTCGAAAGGTTGAAGAAGAACTGCTTGATTCAGACTCCAGTTTGTAGGTGTAGGTGCAGTATCATTAAATGTCACTAGTTTGGATTTCTGCCCATTGACAAATCACCCTTGCCTACTATGTCTCTTTAACTAATATCCCGAAATGAAACGAATAGATTTCTCCCAAAGTGATTTAATCCAGATATCAGTAAGACAAAGTGACCTTGACAAACAATAAAGATGAATATTAAAATGAGTACAGGCAACCAGGCACAATACAAAGCAAGAATATACCAATTCACTTACATTTAAATGAGGCTTTGTCAGAACAGATTATCCCAATGTAAGAAACTTAAGAAATAGATTATTCATATCCAATGACTATAGCACCATTAACCAAGCTTATGAGAACAGATCTAAAGACAGACTAAGCTCTAGACAGTTAACCATAACAAGAAGTAATCAAGTAATCAGCCAATAATCGCGATGCAGTGAATCATACGTAAACACACCAAAAGTAAGTAGTACCAAGATAAATCAGTCAAATGTTCAAACCACTGATACAAAGCGATTTGAAATGGACCAATCTCCAACTGTACTTGGTGAATTCAAACTCATTTGGGAATTGCAAGAAAACAATTGATGACCTCTTCCATTTATTTTTGGGGCACAAGTTAACCGAAAATTCGGCATTTCTTGTGGATAAAAAAAGAGTGTCTTTAGGTTTTTTTTGTTCCGCCGAACGATTAAATCATCGCTATAGAACCAGAGAAGGGGAAATACAAACGAGGCAAATTGCATAAAAAAGTGCAGGATTTACGAAAACGGTTGCAAGTGATTGATCGACGATTGTGCACAACCTTCACGCAAGACGCAAATGCGGGGTAAAAATAGCAACCAAACAGCACATAAATATTTAGCGCTGCGCTGATTAGTTTTTTGATTCGATGGTACGTTAATAACAAAATTACAGTTATAAACAAAAATCCTCTTAATCCACCCATATGTGTAGAAACAGATGAGATCTTGATTCAACTTCAATACCTATGACGTTTCCTAAAGTACAAAATAGACCAAATTCCCTGACATTCCGCCATATACATATATAATGTGGATGGCCCGCAACAAGGATACATAATTAGTTGACCACCGGATGCACCAGCATTTTCACTATATAGTGTCAATATTTTGTTATTTGCATACTTGATTGGTACGGTATTCTATACTTTTACAATTTGCGTACTCTTAACATCCAGTTTTATTTCAATCTGGACACTTATATACACACAATCGACTTGCGTTGCACTTTACCGTAGCCGAACTATTTACCTGCCATGACCACACTGCAAGTCTGTTTGGTTCACTTAATAATTTCCATGGTTACCTAGACTGTGGTGCATGGAGTCGATTTTCTTATTTTTAAACGGCGATTGCTTGGTTTTTACCGGGTCGCCTTGACGCATCGATTGCGTTTCTTTATTTATTTATCAAGTAAATATATTTTGTTCGATTTAATTATATTTATCACGTTTTTGTTAGACTTCCCCGAGGGTGCCGCCGCTCGATAACCAGAATTGGTTTTCGGCGTCTCCTTTCACCCTGGAATGCGGTCTTTTATATTTTCTTTATTTGTGTATGTAAAATTCGTACTTTCAGCTTGGTGAAGAAATAAATTACTGATTACTGATTACTATCCCCCAAAAAGGCCATACACAAAAATATGCTGCACTTAGTAGAATATGTGCTCTAATCTTGAATTTTATTTTGAACAAGATTTTTGCAATATTGCACAAAGACGAATCCGAAAAGATACTACTATTGGCGTAATGAAATTTGACGACAGATGAATATATATATATATATATACACACATATATATGCTTTCCACATCACAAAAGTAGTTGGTCCACATATGGTAGAATCTTCACCTGTGGACAATTAGCTAGATTACATTAATAAGTTTAATTGACAATAGATTGAATAATAGGCCCGTGACACATAAATCACATTAATATGAAATCTCACAATCAATCAAAAGTAAATAAATTGACAAACACAATTCACATAAACTTAATCTGCAGAAAAAAGATGGATCAAAACGGAAAAAGATGCTTCCTTGGTGTGAGGTCCTAGCCATGAAGCACCACCAAGGAAAGCAATCACTCCAACCTTCATAATATACTTTTGAAATCCAATACAACTATTTGAAAAGCAAATCCTCATCTTCATTATCATCCAGCATATTTTTGGATTCTGTGTAACTATCAACCTCATCATTTCCAGCAAGCCATAAAGCTTCCCTTTCAGCTCTTCGAGCAATGTCTTCTTTTTCTTTAGCAACAGCCTTCTTTTGCTGAATTTTTTTAAGTCTGTAAAATTCTTCACGATCTCCTTCATCCAATTCACTAATGATATATGCTATAGTGTTTTCAATTCGTGGAATAATAACTGAAAAGGATGAAAAAATCTGTTAATCCTAATTCACAAAAAGTGAATAATTACATTTACAGGGAAGTACAATTTTGCATGTTGGATGCGAGTCTGTCTCTAACACCCAGGAGGTCATTTGGATAATTTTCTAGCAAGAACATAACTTTTGTGCAAAGCGACCTATACAACTTAAACTTATTTTTTTTCATTCTCATAGAAGTCATTTAGAAATTTATGGGTTCTGTCACATTTTGGGAGTCACTCTGTATATTAAACATCAGCAACATTCAGACAGTCGAACTAGATAAGCGAACACATCCTTTCAAAAAAATCCTTATGAATATTGATTTCCATTCAATGAAATGATGTTGAAAGTCATTGATCTTAAAGCCCGACTTTTTTGTGGCTAAAGCAACAACCATTTTAAATTGTCTTGTTTTTAATTTACTCAATCATCTTACCATATTCAATAGCATTTACTCTTCTATTAGTAATCTTGATTGCAGTATCCAAAGTAACGAAGGATGTCTAAAAAGTTTGATAAAGAAGTTCATAGAAGGCTATTTTGTTAACCAATTCTGTCTTTATTGACAAAAGCTTCATTTTGAAAAACTATCCATCCAATAATTATCAGGACTATTTTTAGCGGCAAATACAAAACTCCAACAACAAACCTGCCTTACATTAAAAATATATTGCATATTGCAGACTAACTCAATTCTATCTAATCTAAATTGAACTATTTTACAGAAGATTCACAACAAATGTTACAAAAATAAACATTTTTTTTTTGGTCTAAATTTTTTTAATATAAATTTCAAATAGCATTACCGTAATTTTGAATCTGTAGACACGACAAAGCACAAAATATTTGAATGCCAGTCCATATTTTACACTGTCAGTCATTGAATATCTTACCTGCAAAGATGCCAGATCAACCAATAAATGAATTGCCTTTGCATATTTCTTTTTTAACCTTGATAATTGTTCACCACCCCTCGATAATCCTGTCAGTTCATAGCTGTCAGTTCCATCTTCATAATGCTCAAACACTGGTATATTTACACCTGTAATTACGAATGTTTATTATAAGTTTTTTATTATCAGTAATTTGGTTATATCTTATTTGATCTTTTACCTGCAACATTTTCTTTCTTTGTTCGAACTTTGATTTGTGCCTTGCTAACATTTTGCAAAACAACTGTACAAAAATCACCACCAGTAAATTTTGCCTCAGCGAGTGAAAATGAAGCTTCTTTCATAACATCACCCATAAGTTGCTTTGCCTATGATGCATGATACTTAATTAGAAAAATATACATCAGTTCAGAAAATATTTACTAAAATGATAAACTTTACTTCTTTCACTTTGAAAAGATAACAGAATAGATGCAAGTGATTATTGGGGCACTGAATATGCATTTATTATTGAGACAAAATGTTAGTAAATTACCGGTAATATTGATGTAACAAAGTGTTTAGATGAAAATTATTGTTTTTATGAAAATTTTATCGAATTATCTTCAGATTATTTCAGGAATCTTTCACATTTCTGATCACCATGATTTTCTAGGAATATATTTGACTTGCCTCAATAATTTTCTTTAATATGGCACGAAATCGAACTGTCAAGGCATCGGCCTTTTTTTTCAATAAACTGTGACCTTTCTGAGCACCTTTCAACCTCGCTTTCATTATTGTTAGATTCCTGCAAACAGTAAAATATACATGAATCAAAGCGGTCAAATACTAGAATTGTGATTAGAATTAGAATGATGATACAATATTTTTAAAAATACTGATAAACCAGTATTTTCTGGTTTACTGATATATAAAAATACTGAGAAAACTTTTTGATTGGTATATCTGTAGCATTATGCCCAAACACCCAGACAGGAAGTTGATAACATGGTGGATGATGAAAAAAAATCTGTAAATCTATTCACATTTTTTAACAATTGTTATTAGCCAAGTACCAACCAAGTCTATTCTTTTACATTTTTTACATCACTTCATGTTAGAAAGTTTTAATTGATGTTTGGGTCATACTCTTATATAACCCAACAATTACAAGATATTTGTTGAGGGTCGCAAACATTTTATATTACTGATTCGACAATAGATTAGGATAGAATTTTACATATTTAGGTTTAGCACCATACTTCTGTATTTTTAACTAGTATGGCACAGTTCTTCGATTCCAAGAGAGAGAGAGAGAGAGATTTATTGTTTTGTCAACCGTAAACGAACAATGGTATACAAAATAATATATATAATATACACAAAGTTAATTCGGTATAAACTGGCCAAGATGTCCTGACATTTAGTTTAATAAAACAAACACTTTATTTGTCTGAAGCAAGGGCATCTGGCATGACGGCAGATGCATCAGATAGCGCCATGCTCGTCTTGATGATAATTTACAATCAATTGTGACTTTCGTAGTCTGTCACATGACCTAAATGGTGCTAAAAACTCTTGAATGCTAAAGCAAAATATTTTCACTTCAAAATTTGATGGAATGAACAGACAAGACAGACCTGGATTCTAAGAACATTCAGGACTTACATGCGAGATGGAAATATAGCAATCCTGTCTCTTGAAGACATCTTTCTTCGATTGTTATCTTCCTACAATCCTATGAAAATGTGCTCACAGTCGGAAAGAAGCACGCAGAATAGCACGACAACAACACCAGTTTGTTGTAAAACAGCAGAAAATATAAACAAAATTATAGGTCACGTGATTATGAGGTCATGTGGTAAAGTTATGACCCGTAAAAACGTTAATTAAAGACACCAATAACACGACAAACTTGGTCCGAAGTGTTCATTGAATGCCATTAACCCCAAAATAAAAATTTTGTCAGTTAGTATATTTTAGCGCTACGACATTATGAATCTCGTGTATCATTTAATATTCGAAGATACACGGATTACCTCAGTCTCTATGCAATATTTTCGTCTATCGACCATGCATATTTTCGCCTTTTCCCTGCCATTATGACACAGGTCTTCAACTCAAATGTATTTTGTGGGCAGAAGATGATAGTAAGAATATATTGTAGAAATACTATACTACATTGCGTTGTTGATTGTTAGCACTACGGTTTCTTTTACATGCACAAAACGCCTTCGGAATGAATGGATAATTGAGTACAGTATAGGACTATATGTAATCAAAGTTGAAAAAATAACATCACACTCTGTCCAATAAGCGAATATTAGTCCAACTGATATCACTTATGATCAACTGTAAGAATAATAACAGTATAAACTCCACCTGTGCGATTGTTAATTCTCCGACAACATCCTCCCCATCTCGTCGAATCTATTATACTGTAACTTTGACGGGGGTGGGCGATTCTTCTGAAATTGCGGGCCAAATGGCCACATAAGTAAGCTTCGATGTCTTTGTTAGATAATTAATAGCTTTGGTTTCCCGCGGCATCTATTCCGCAGTTGAACTGTTTTTTTTTCTTCTCGAAATTTGTATATATATACCGGTACTTGATTATTTGTTAGTTGAAAAAATAAACTTGACTTGCCCGTGCTCTATAAAAGGCGCACTTTGCATTATAAATTTGCTCTCTTTTGTGTCGAACTAACAACAGGTTTCCTAATTTCAAAAAATGGATGTATGTAACAACGTAAATTACTTTAATATGGCATCTACATTAATCTTACACTTCCGAAACCCCAATAGAACACTATTCGTCCGCTAAGGCGCACATTACCCATTTGCTGTGGTGGTCTAATAATGTATGGCGAACTTTTTATTGAAAGTTACAAAATTAATTGGACAAGAAATGGGCATATGGATCGTTCTGTTATTATGTTGTAAGAATTTTTCTTCGTGTTACCGTAAGAAAAAATCGCTTCTCTCATTGACGACTACTGGACCCATTGTAATTTTCGCTGGAAGGCTATTACATTTAGTTATTGGACACGTAGTGGACATAACGATCGTTTCAATATTATGTTGTTGTTGTTCTTGTTCTTGTTGTTCTTGTTCTTTGACACGTTTTTAAAAAGTCGCTTCGAATACTGAACCAATTGCTTTGAAATTTTCAGTGGTTGAAGATTAATTTTTTCGCTAGAAGGCTATTACTTTTGTTTATTCTTAAATTTTATATGAATCCTATTAGATATGATATTTCATACAAAATTTCGCGGTATTTATTTTTACTCACGGGAACACTGTTTTACACTTATTTCAAGCGGTTTCGCGATCGATTGTCTTGCTCAGTACTACAGCTACTGTAGGTCGGTACTGGTAAGTTGCCATACCGGTGCCGTAACGCAGTGAAATTGACTTATTCCTTCCGCGGTATTACTAATGCTGCAATGCAAGTTTTATAGCCTATCGTATGCGGAACGGAATATCAGACCTACAGGTTCGGTACCGGTACTGGTAGCTCAGTACGTAAGTACGATACTGGTACTGGTGCCGGTACCGGTGTCTTACCACAATGAAATTACCGTAACTTATTCTTTCACGGTCCTACCAGTGCAGTAATGCAAGCGTTGTAGCACTTGTAGCCTACTATATTTGTTTATTTTGATGAGAGTCTACTGGAAACAACATAAAATTTGAAAGGGAAGAATTGTTCTGTGATCAATTATCTGTCCTAAAGTGTAAATAACATAAAATTTGCAAGGGAACAACTGTTCTGTGATCAATTACCGTATATGGCCTACAGTGTACAGGTAAGATGCTGGCTGACTGCTAACAGGTACTGGTAGCTCAGTACGTAAGTACGATACTGGTACTGGTGCCGGTACCGGTGTCTTACCACAATGAAATTACCGTAACTTATTCTTTCACGGTCCTACCAGTGCAGTAATGCAAGCGTTGTAGCACTTGTAGCCTACTATATTTGTTTATTTTGATGAGAGTCTACTGGAAACAACATAAAATTTGAAAGGGAAGAATTGTTCTGTGATCAATTATCTGTCCTAAAGTGTAAACAACATAAAATTTGCAAGGGAACAACTGTTCTGTGATCAATTACCGTATATGGCCTACAGTGTACAGGTAAGATGCTGCCTGACTGCTAACTCAGTACCGCTTGACACGTTTTTAAAAAGTCGCTTTTCTCTTCGAATACTGGACCAATTGCTTTGAAATTCTTAGTGGTTAAAGATAAAAATTTTCTCCAGAAGGCTATTACTTCTTTTTTCGCTATGACGTCATCAAAATTATGTGACTCTACGTGTCCATATATTTGAGCATAGCTCTCTTGTTTTGTCTGTGGCTTCCATGAGATTAGTTTTTTGTGCGATGACGTCATCAATATCGAAAATTATACGCATATTATGATCAGGTTGTGCGCCATATTGGTACGGAAATAATATGGTGTAAGAAAATGGGTGATCGGTAGGGCTGCCCCCATCGTTTCCGTTTAGAGCTGTATTCGAATAGCATTTTCCAATTTCGGTTAATCGTAATTTACAGTGTGCAAAACTTGCAACGTCGCCGCGCGATATTTTTCGGTACGTCGGTAAGTGGATGTGTTGAATAAGTGTGTGCTGTGCGCATAATCGCTGCTGGGTACCAGTAACTTTCTTCGATATCAACAGTCGTCGGTGTGAATTCACAATTGAAATAAGCGTTAGGCTTGCACGTACTTAACGGAATTTATTTTCAGTTACGTTGGCAAAATTGGAATTTTCACAGCGCTACTTTTGTTATTAAAATCGCCGATTGTCTTCGTCAGTGACGTGTTATTTAGGCCAGTGATTCCCAAAGTGGGCGATATCGCCCCCAGCGGGCGAAAAAGCTGAATGAGGGCAATTTCGCGAAACCTGTATTTGTTCGGCGGCTTGCGCATCATGAACTTGATTAGGGCCTACTGTACTATGCGTGCATTCGCAGGTTTGCATTCCGTGGACGATAATCACACGCGAGATGATTGCTGGACTCCACTCGCCGTAAGGTAGTTCGCGTAGACCAGGGGTCGGAAACCTACGACCTACGAGTAAAATAATTCGGCACGCGGCGCTCCACTGAATTATAAAGACAAAACGGCGGTTTTGACGGTGAAATAATTTTATAATCTACGCTCGAGGAGTAGACTATATTTTTTACTGTAACAGAATTTATCGTGTGACACGTTTAAAAAATTATATCATAAGGTAGCAATTTAGTGAATAGCTACTCGTTTAACGATCCTACAATTCAATTATAATTAGACAAATGGCAACACGAAAAGAGTTGATGCTGAGTGCAGGGTTTAAATAGTGCAGGAAATATCCAAATGAAGCTCCTTGAGATACAATGCAATGAGAAAATAAAATTCATAATTCGTTCGGGAGATGCATCACTGCTTAATTTATATAAAAATGTATCTTCTTAAAAAAAATCTCTATCAAAATTTGACAAACCATACGACAAAATTCACTTCGATGTTTGGAAGTATATATGTGTGCAAACAATTATTTTAGAAAATGATCATTAGAAAGGACGAGAAGAGAACTTGGATTAGTGATGCCCATTTAGAAAATTTCCAATTTTGGCTTCATTCAGTGTGATGTCGAAAAAATATCAAGCGTGATGCAGCAACAAGACAGTGTCACATTAAATGTCATTTGTAATTTTATTTCTTTTAATAAGACGACTGAGTTGAGTTCATGAATTGTCGCAGTCCCCGCGTGCTGTTCCGTTTTCAACTTTCAAAACGTATGTGCGGCCCGCCGAGACTTGCAACCCTTAATTTTGGCCCGCGAGCGACAAAAGGTTGCCGACTCCTGGGTAGCAGGTGGTCGGTCGGTTAAGGTAGTATGTGAACCAATAGGACGGATAGTATAGTGCAGGGTGGTCCAAACCCAGGCCCGCTGCTTCATTTTTTGTGGCCCGCGTCGCATTTGCGCAAGGGTAAACAAAAAATTGAATTTGATGTTGTTTCGTCATAAAAATAACCAGAAACATCTTCTGACATATTGTTACATTACTAATGCCATTGAATTGCCGGGTGTTTTTTTTGCAACCAGCAAGTTTACCTGTTACGTAAAATATTCAATCCGTGACAACTACGAGATTCTAAAATTAAAATATCTGATTTAATTTAATAATTAATTAATTTAATTTAATGTGTCCAACGTAACTCGCGGTTGCTTATTCTTACGTCAGAAAAAAACAAACATTACTATTCGGTCCACGGCGATCTGTGACCTAAAAAAGTACGGGATAAACTGCCTGATGTATTTAATTTTAATACGTATTTTTGCAATCTTTCCAACTCGTTATCGCCGTTAGAAAAATTTCAAATAATGATATAAAATCCTGTTAAGTGTAGAGTATAATTCATTTCATACAATGAATATACATATATATAAGGTTTAGCAGTAAATTAAAAATACATATTCATCGCCGCGATTATGCCACCTGTTAAAAGAGTTGACTTTTACAACAAATAATATAACAACGAATATATATTTTTCTGTTGTGCAAAGTGATGAATTCGTGACCAATACGGGCATATTTAAAATGTCTTGCTTTATTAATTTAATTGTCTTCAATTTAACCTGCGGTTGCGTCGCGGTCATAAAAATAAAAACGTGTGGTAAACTGCCCGATTAAATAATGTTTTGATCCGTATTTTGCGAATTCGGCAAATATTTAGATGTACTTGTTAACAGTGACTCCGCTCAATCGAAATGCTGCCACTCTGATTATTTTTGGATAAAACCGTTCGAAAAATCCATAAATCTGCTGTAACATCTCAGAGTAAAATTTATTTCATCACAATAAAATTGATTGAATATACTTTAGATTGATTATATT